GGTTTCTCTTTTCTCCATTCTCCTAGGCCCAAAGTGTCCACTCCTACAGGGCACTGCTGCAGGTTCCTGAGCTGTGTGTGCAGAGCAAGGCCCTTGGCCAGAGGAGGAAATGGGGTCCTGAGCGAGTCACACAGAGGCTCTCACTGCCCATGGAGCGGAGGTACCACTGGCAAGAGGAAAGTGCCTCTTTCCCCATGGAAAGTCCAGACCAGGGGCAGCAGAAAGTGCGCAAGACCTCAGGCAAACCACTCCAGCTGAGTATGGAGAATTTCAAAATGTCCTCACGCCCTCCTTCCTTTTGTCAGGCTGGCCTTCTAAATGAAGTGTAGGTGGATATTAAAGTTGGACTGCTTCTCTCAGAAGGACAGTGCAGTCGCTTACCTGTGTGCAGGGCAGGTGGCAATGCAGTGGCTGAGAACCGAGTCTCTGGCATTAAGCAACTTGGATTCAAATTACCAGCTGAGTATAACAAAAATAACTACCATTTATTGAGCACTTACTATGTGCTAGGCACTGTGCTAAATGCTTACATGCATTATCTCATAAAATCCTCACAATCCCACAAGGGAGGTGCTGTCATCAGACCCAACTGGGCCAGAGGTGCACTTAGTAACCTGCCCAGACCCAAGGCAGTTTGACCCCAACATCTGTCTTCCTAACCACTGCGCTCAGCCTGTGCCACTGCCTCAGTGACGGTCTGTTCCAGCTGCAGACAGCACTAAGAGACTGCCTGAGGTTACTGTCTTGTGCTGTGTCCACGATAGTCACCTGGACATCCTCCTCTTAGCCTTTCCTCCCCACCCTGACTTTGGGAGAACAGGAACCCTGGTTCTGGTTACAAGTGACATTGCCTCTCCCCACGCCACCCTTTCCTTGGACATAATCATAAGGTGGGCAAGGAGCGAGTTACTTCAAAAGACAAAAGTTAATGGTGATGCAGGAACAAGTTCCAGCAACAACTATCACATTTGGTAGAGTAATGAAAATCACTCCCTTACAAAACTGACCTTGGGCAGGCTTCTTAGGAAACAAGGCCACTGCACAGTTTCCTGGGCAGTGATGCTCTTTGTCCTGAGTCATTCACGTCTCCCCAGCCACCTACCCGTCACCAGCAGGGATGCTCCTGGGCCTGCCGGGAACTCACTGACAGTCTGAAGATCTGAACTCAAGGATCCATTCGAATCAGCCTCCAGCTGACTCAACTAGCTTAGATTCAGATCACAGGGTTAGCTTAGTCTGCCTCAAGACATATTTTTGGAATCTTCTTGCATAACATAAGTCAACTTACAGGTAAGAAGGCCGGCGGGAAAAGATAAATACCATCAAAATGGTTTCAAAGTCCACTTGTATAAGGTTAAAAGTTACATTTCACCCCTTCTGAAAGAGACACCAGTTTCAAACATACATTATAGAATTGTACAACACTGTATTTTTTAAATACAGTTATACTATAGCTACTAAAATGTTCAGAGTATGAAACAGGCAAAAAAAAACAAAAACATAAATAAGGCCCAGGCTGCCTTAGAGGGTTTTACTTTCAGGAGTAAAACGTGTGTGCTTCTATGATGTTGAGGCACATGCCCACACAAAGGGAAAAGACTTGGGAGACCTGTAAGCAGTGACAAGAACTCACCAGGTTCCTCTAAAAATTAAAAATGGAACTGCCGTTTGACCCAGCAATCTCATTTCTGAGAATATATCCTAAGAATCCCAAAACACCACTCAGAAAGACTATATGCACCCCTATGTTCACAGCAGCATTATTTACAATAGCCAAGATCTGGAAACAGCCCAAGTGCCCATCAGTAGATGAGTGGATAAAAAAGCTATGGTACATTTACACAATGGAATACTATGCAGCTATAAAAAAGAATCTCTTACCCTTTGAGACAGTATAGAAGGACCTGCAGAGTATTAAGCTAAGCGAAATAAGCCCGGAAGAGAAAGACAAGACCACAGAATCTCACTCATATGCGGATTCTAATGAACACAATAAACCAATGAACAAAATAGGTCCAGAGGCAGGAAAGCATGGAACAGACTGACAGATCTGAGAGGGGAGTGGGGTGGGGGAGCAGGTAGAGATTAACCAAAGAACATACATGCATATACGCATAGCCCACAGACAGGCAATAGTGTGGGGAAGGCCTGGGGTGAGGTGGGGGCTGGGTGGAGGGAGGCAAATGGGAGGAAAATGGGGGACATCTGTAATACTGTCAATAAAAAAAAGACTCACCAGGGAGGCTGCCCAGACTCAGCCCTCTGCAGAAGAGCCCTGTTTCTGTAATGCCCTTGTTCATCAGCTCCCTTCTGTCACTACTTACGAACTAACAGCAACTCAAGCTCCAACCTGGTGCACAGGTCAGGCCTCCTAAGCTTTAGGGAAGAAATGGCACAAAATTTCAGATGCACTTTCACCACTTTCGGTGGTGCTGGGGACAATCTGCTCTTGTCCTGGTAGGCGGACAGTAAGATGGAGACTCGACTCCACCACATGACCCTGGGGAAGCTCTCCCCTCCCTGGCCCTCAACTTCCTCACCAGCAAGGTGCTCCTGGCTCTCACCCCAGGTACCTCAGGAGGTGGTGTGAGGATGTACAGGATTCACACTGGAAAACAAAACCAAACTCTACACCAGGATTGCGCAGTATTTGTGAATACAGAGCAGGGGGGGACACAGCACCATGGGCAAAGTGAGAAACTGAGTTCATGACAAGGGAGGGCATGCAGTTTCAGTCACGTTTTATTTCTCACACACACACAAATGGATCTGAAGTAAGCTGCACCATTAAGATCTGCACAGGTATATGTTTAAATAGTCTCTTGAATCTTAATGGTGAAATATTGTCAATAAATGGGAGAAAGAAAAACACTGTGCTACACAGACACAGGGAAGCATTGCTCTCCAGACGGCCCCACTAGAAAAGTCCTTTTATTTCACTGGAAAGAAAGTGGAGAAATCCCAACAAAATAAAACCCAAGCTGACCCTCTGGCATCCTTGCTGGCAGCATTGGTGAGCAACCACCTTACCCTTCCCAGGACCCCCAGGACTTCGAGATGCCCCTATCAGTGACTACTTCCACAAAGGAATGTGCCAGGCACCCTGATCTCAAATGCAGCCCTACTCATGAGTGGCTCTCAGCTGCTGGGCTCCCGCCGAGACTCCCTGCTCCCAAGCACCCCACCATTTGCCCACAATAAGTGATAGGAGACAAATGAGGTCCCTTTCTGTCTTTGGTTCAGGAGACCAAGTTCATTCTTCAATAAGAAAACTAGATTCATTACTGATTACCTCCACTGTTTAATTCATTGCTGAGATAATGCCTCATCTTAAGGATAAACATTTAGAAAAGGCCTGAAAACACTTGTTTTTGGGGAGCCCAGGACATGACTCATTGCCCACAACTGCCACTGGTGACATGAACTTGCTCAGCCAGAATCATGGAAGACTGGAATTAGAAGACACTCAGAAAACAAGGACCCAAAGAGTGATATGTCCTGTCCTGCTCTGGGTCCACAGCCAGGACTGAAACCCCACGCAAAAACACATTTTCTTTTTAAGGGGCACCTGAACCTGAAAAAGAAGAGCCATTGCTAAAATGGAAGTAAAAGTACAGAACAAAGAGGCCACTGCAGTGCTGCATGCATGGGGAAGGTTTTGCAGTGACTGCAAGCTGAAGCATCAAAGGGTCTGTCTGCCCTGTGCTGGACGCTCCCATGATCTGGGTTGAGTGTGAGCTTCCTGGGAGGCAGGAAGGCTGATTTAAACAGAAACAAAACAAACCAGCATCAAGCCTGGTGCTAAAGCCGTTACACCGCATTTGGCAATGAGAACAACCATGGCACAGAACAACTGAACATATTTGGGCACCAAGTTCTCTCTCCTGTATCCCCTTCCCAAAGTCAACCTCACCTCTATAATTAAAAAGGGAAACAAAATAAATCACAGTTTAAAAACAAAAAAAGGTCCCTTAGTAAAATACAAATTACATTTAACTGGTCACATTATATAAAAGTGTGCATTTAATCTTCAGGAGTCAAACCTCTAATGGGGTTGGGTTTTCCAAAGTTTCAAGCAGGACTTTGTGGTTTCGGTGAAGAAGTCATGGCACAATTGAAATCACTGTAAGAAATAAGTGATTTTTAAAACACATACACAATACACATTTGTCTCAGGAGTATATATATACAACACAGCAGCTACGTGGGTGGTCGGTCAGGCAAAGGGGCATGAAGGAGAAGCCCTCTGCTCCCTCCCTAACAGGAAAGCCCCCAGAAAGGATTCAGCAGCGACCAGCATACAGCACAGACATGAACACCATCGTCCCTGAAAAGACACAGTGAGCTTCACTGCCCTCTAGGAGCCATCTGAGCCTAAATACATAGAAAGGGGCTCAGTTACAGCACATTCTACTGCATACACTTGAAATATTACAGTGTGGTATGTCTATTTTTACCAGACTATTATAAATAATTTTTCGTGCTTTCTCAAGAAAACTTTTTAGTCTGTGATGAAGTAAGGTGAACCCACGTCATAAAGCAGAGCTCATGTTCCACAGGATTTCATGTGGACAGAATGCTTATCTGATCAATAAGCCTTTGTCCCTCCAGCCTACAGAAGGTAAACCCCCNGCAGTGCTGCATGCATGGGGAAGGTTTTGCAGTGACTGCAAGCTGAAGCATCAAAGGGTCTGTCTGCCCTGTGCTGGACGCTCCCATGATCTGGGTTGAGTGTGAGCTTCCTGGGAGGCAGGAAGGCTGATTTAAACAGAAACAAAACAAACCAGCATCAAGCCTGGTGCTAAAGCCGTTACACCGCATTTGGCAATGAGAACAACCATGGCACAGAACAACTGAACATATTTGGGCACCAAGTTCTCTCTCCTGTATCCCCTTCCCAAAGTCAACCTCACCTCTATAATTAAAAAGGGAAACAAAATAAATCACAGTTTAAAAACAAAAAAAGGTCCCTTAGTAAAATACAAATTACATTTAACTGGTCACATTATATAAAAGTGTGCATTTAATCTTCAGGAGTCAAACCTCTAATGGGGTTGGGTTTTCCAAAGTTTCAAGCAGGACTTTGTGGTTTCGGTGAAGAAGTCATGGCACAATTGAAATCACTGTAAGAAATAAGTGATTTTTAAAACACATACACAATACACATTTGTCTCAGGAGTATATATATACAACACAGCAGCTACGTGGGTGGTCGGTCAGGCAAAGGGGCATGAAGGAGAAGCCCTCTGCTCCCTCCCTAACAGGAAAGCCCCCAGAAAGGATTCAGCAGCGACCAGCATACAGCACAGACATGAACACCATCGTCCCTGAAAAGACACAGTGAGCTTCACTGCCCTCTAGGAGCCATCTGAGCCTAAATACATAGAAAGGGGCTCAGTTACAGCACATTCTACTGCATACACTTGAAATATTACAGTGTGGTATGTCTATTTTTACCAGACTATTATAAATAATTTTTCGTGCTTTCTCAAGAAAACTTTTTAGTCTGTGATGAAGTAAGGTGAACCCACGTCATAAAGCAGAGCTCATGTTCCACAGGATTTCATGTGGACAGAATGCTTATCTGATCAATAAGCCTTTGTCCCTCCAGCCTACAGAAGGTAAACCCCCTGGGGCTCCAGGGCAGCGAATACAGAGCAGCCCAGATGAAAGCTCTCCAGCAGTAAACACATCCAAGCCATGAGCCTCTTCCCTGCTGGGAAAAGGGGTAGTACAAAGACAGGTACAGGGGTCCTGATGGGGTTGGACACAGGTGAACAGCCACTCCCTGATCGAGCCCACTTCAACAGATGAGGCTAGAAGCGCCAAGCAGCCCCTGCTGAGCTGGGCAACACTGTCCTCCAGGTTTAAAACTTCAGTTTAAAAAACCCAAATGGTTTCACCCCCATGACTTCTTTCCAACTCAAAGCTGTAGTTTACTCACAACCCAAATCATAAGAACATAGACTGCATGTACAGAATTTTTTAAAAACCCACAGATAAAAAACACTCTACCAAAAAATTAAAAAAAAAAAAAAAAAAAAAGACAGTGAGTTGAAGCCTTGTCATTGTCTCAGTTGCACCAGCTGGGCTTGCCTTGGAGCCCCGCCCCCTCGTCAGTCCTGCTCTGGCTCTCCAGCCCTGCGTGGCCCCTACTAGTCCTCCATGGCATCTGTCAGCATCCCCTTGTCGGTCAGGTGAGACTTGAGTGTGTTGAAGATGTGCAGCTGCTGATCTGGCCGCAAGTTCATGAACTGCTGAATCAGTTTGCTCGGGTTCGGGCCCCTGGAAGAAAATGTGACAAGATACACTGATGGGGGCCCAGCAACTTCTAGGGCTGATTATCCTCGTGGCTGCTCCCACCTCTGGATTCTCTACTAATGGGGCAGAGGGGCCTCGGGGAATCCATAAGTAAATAGTAGCAATGGAAAACTGTATTTATATTTGGGATGCTTTTCAATGAAACTGAGATGTGGCTAAAATTCTAGAATTTCACCTTATTTAAAAATCCACCAACTTGGTTCAGATGGAAAGGCACTGTACCTGATAAAACTGGCGATGTACACATTGACAAAGGTGGCCATCAGATACTGGCAGTCGAAGCGATCCATGATGCCTCCATGGCCAGGAATAGTACTGGCAAAGTCCTGTTAGAGGCAGGAGAAGGACTGGTGAGCCTTGCTCAGCCAAGATCAAACCCTGGCCTGTGGTCCCACCTCAATGTCCCACTACTATCCTGAGTAGCTGAGAGAAACAAAGAAGTAAGCACTGACTCAAATGCTGAGGCTAGTATAGGACACGATCTTATTAAATTACAAAATGGTTTTTTTTAAAGAAAGATATAAGATATTAATCAATAAATGGAAAATCCAACTACTGAATTTTCCCGGAAACAATGTCTTGTACGTAACCTCCCTAAATTCTGCGCATGGGTAAAGAGCACACATTAACAGCCTAGTATTTTGAAGGGGGTGGTGGCTGACCGGGCGGGGAGGGGAAGGCAGAAGACAGGTGAAGGGAGGGGCCTGGCTGGGAAATGATGAGAGGAACCGAGAACAGGGTTTTCCTACTTTGATTTTAAAGGCTCTTTTGAATCCACTTGCGAAGAACCCTCCAAAGGGGCCAATGAGTGAGGCGAAGGTGGAGAGTGCAATGCTGTGAATCTGGAAGGGGTACATCCGGACGATTTTCTGAGAAGAATAAATGAAGTAAAAGTCAAGATGCCCACAGGCCCAGCCTTATTACATGTCAACATAAATAACTCTTTATGCAACTAACTAGATTCCCCTCCAAAAAAACATAACTAGTAAGAAGACTGGGTTTTTTCTAATCTCTAATGTCTGGCTTAATAGAAGACGTTAAGATATTCTACATTCAGTCTCTTGATACATTGTTCTGGTTGAAGTATATGAAGAAAATCCAGCCTTACACAGATATGTAGTTGAAAAAAGGAAGAGTATTTTAGCACTGTCTTTTCACATAATTATAGGCATTCTTTGACACCAAATGAGAACCTGGTAAATGGTACTTCCTTAAAAATTTGGTGCAATCCTATCAATGAAGTTTTGTACTCTTAAATTAAAATCCATTGGTCTATCTGGCAGTTTGAGTGGATCTTTTACCCATGCCTGACTGTGTAACCCCATGCACTGGCCATTTCAAAAATATTGTTCATTGAGTTATATCAACCTTCCAAATGTAGACATATCTAGCTATACAATGTCAAAACGTCATATAATAAAATCAGCACAGACCTCATCAGAAAGTCCTTTAGTGTTAGGAAGCTGTCAAGCTCATAGAAGGCACACACTTTCTAAAATTCTCCTTTCCCATGAAAGCCACATTTTATCAGTGTTAACAACTAGTGACAGCTGTTTTCCTTGAAGTGGCAGGCTTGCTTCATTCATTTTCAATAAAAAGGTCTGTCACTTATCCAAGTCTGAAACACTGTAATCTCAGTTCTTTTCAAGTGAAAATTATGTGTCTATAAAAAAGGTGCTAGGTCAGTTCATAAGTCAAGCAAGTGCCACGGGCTTTTCCTGTAGGTAATCAAGTACTTCAGTATTTAGCAGAAGTGTTTCATGCATACTTTTCATTTTGGTACAAAGAGTATTAGAAGGTGTGTTTTCAAGGGTCAAAATTTAATCAAGTTAATAATTTTACTATTTTGCCAAAGACACCCTGAAGAGGAACTGGCTTATTTTTACTGCGACCGTGTGGCATGAAGAGTCCAATGATTCAGTCCAGTTTGGTGCCACCACTGTCACCCACGCTAGGTCGCCAACAGGTTTACCCACCACTGCTTTTGTCAACAAAATGAATAAGGCAAATCATGTCACTGTATTATAAAAATAGTTGTGACCTCAGGGACCCCTGGAAGAACCTCAGGGACCCCAAAGCACACTTTGAGAATCACTGGTCCTAACGATCTGAGGCGGGAAGAAGCCTCTTCTTGGTCCTCACTGTGAACTGACCTGCACAATTCTCCTTCATCCTGGGGCCTATGGCTTTGGGAGCGGAGGGGCTTTTTTTGAGGGAAGGCAGTGGTGGAAAGGGAGCTCTCTCCTGCAGTCACTAGCCCACTGAGGTTAGTTTGCTCCATGGGAGTGGCACATACCCAGCCAATGACCGACTGGATCACCTCAGGAATGTTGTACTCATGCAGGCGAAACAGGTCTGAGGGCTCACAGTCCACAGTGAAACTGTTGGTGTCATTGTTGTACTCCACGGGGCAGACAAAGCATCTGTACCCAGACATCACATAGGACAGCTGAGGATGAAGCAGAGAGAGACATGCCAAGGAGACAAGTTTTGTCATCCTGCCTGGGCAGAAGACACCTGGTCTAGCCAAATCCCTTACAGTGCCTAGCACCCTCTAACTGCAAGCCACGCCCTGAATCAGAGGTTTAGGTTACACACAAACACCCACGTCCAGACTGAATTTAGGGAAGACCTGAGGAATGTGGCGAAGGAACTGTAAGAAGTTTCTCCCCACCTGGGAGAGCTACAGTCCATTTTCTCAGGATCTCTTAACTTGGTGCTCACTGGAGGCAGAAGGTGGGGGAATGGTACAGAGAGAGGCAGGCAGCCAGGAAAAAGAAGGCTGAAGAGCAGTCAAGTAAAGGAGCTGGCACTGAAGGACAGATGGACAACATTGCAAAGGGGAGACTAGCCTGAGGTCAGAGCAGGGAATGGTGCTCTTGAAAGAGCTGGAAGATCATCCACCTCCAGGCAGGGAACTCAAAGGAGAAAATCTGGGCTGGAGTGGCATATCTCACCCCATCCCTTACTCCCCTGTGCCAATCACCCCAACCTTGAAATATCAAATGCCTGGACAAGAGTGCCACCTGCTGAGTGCTGCATGCCTCGGCAAGAGAGAAGTACAAGTTGCTCTCTAGCCCTGGACAGTCTTTGAAGATGGGTGTGAGGCCTGGTCTCTGTCACTCACCCACCCAGCTGGGAGCCACTACCTACCAAAAGGCCAAAGAGCACAGTAGCAAAGAAGCCCCCAATGAAGCCTTCCCAGGTCTTCTTCGGCGACAGCTGTGGACAGAGAACAAGTTCTTAGCAAAGGGCATTTTGATATCTCAGGCACTGGGACAATGAATACTTGTTATAAACCTCTCTCTGTTAACCACCTCACCTTCTAAAATACCTCCATGGTTGGTTTCTTTGTTCCCTGCCTGATTTCCCTCAGTTTCCTTTCTTCTTCATTGGTCATTCAAGTCATTTAACTATATTATAAAACAGTATACTAATTAAGTAGCAATACTCAAATTCAGATGGAAGTCCCCAAAGTGTGCTTACACAGTCTATAAAAATATTTTATTAGCTTTTTTTTCCCTGTGGGTAACTGTCAATGTTTTCCTTTGGTTTTTCTCTTAAAACAAATTTAGTACCTGCCTTTCTCCAGGATGACATGAAAACGTACACACACACTAGCCAGATCTCCGGTCTCCCAAGCTGACCTACTTGTATTAAGAGCATCACCCTCCCCTCATGGTAATATTTCATATTAGGGTGATCCATTTACCTTGATGAGTGGTGTCCGACCAAAGAAGAAGCCAAACATATAGGCCATGATGTCATTACAGATCACACAAGAAATGGGGACAATGAACCTAGAAAATAAACCAAAGGATCAACTCTACCAAGATAATATAATACCATTCATAAATTCCAGTACCAAAATAACTCATAGAGTACTTGTTACCCATTAAGAAATAACATTTTAAGTTAATATTTTAAAGAGATTTATTATTATTATTATTGATTTTAGAGAGAGGAAGAGGGGGCGGAGAGAGAGAAAGAAACACTAATTGGCTTCCTCCTGCAGATGCCCGACTGGAATCAAACCTGAAACCTGGGTATGTGCCCTGACTGGGAATCAAACTCACCACCTTTTGGTGTATGGGAGATGCTCCAACCAACTGAGCCACCCAGGCAGGTCAGAAATAACTTTTAAAAAAATAAAATACCGAACAAGCCCTTCCTAGTACCTGGCAGGTAGCAGGCATTCAAATGTTTACTGAAGATTAGTGAATAAATGAAAGTGACATTCTATTAAATGCCATTTATTCTTTTGTCATTATAAAGTAATTGTCTACACAATAATACAACTTTAAACTGTAAAGGAAAAAAAGAACGTAAGTTTTCCTTGTTTCTCCCATCCTATCTCCACTCCCCAAAGTAGCCACTTCTAATCATTCCTGATTTTCTTCTAGTAGTTGCCTCCATAACTCTAATAAGCAGTATACTTTATGTCTATTTCATAACTGGCTTTTTATTTTAAACTCTATACTACAGGAGCTCTATCTAGTAAGCCCAACCTTTCCCTAGGACTACCCTGACGGCAAAACCACCATCCACACACATAGCTAGATTTCTTCTCTGCCTCTCCCCGCTGGTCTGGTCACCCCATCATGAAAACGGGGGCAGTTTCCACACTTGTACCATCGCCCTCCTCTCCTCACTCTCCACTCTCTGACAGTCACTTAGGGTGGGAGTTAGAGTGTCTGTATTCTCCCAACCCCCACAACATTCACTCTGTGGAGGCTTCTAGCACATACTCTCTGCTCTACAACTGTAATTAAGTCCTGTAGGCTGAGTCTGAAAGCCAGTAACTGGAGATTTTAATACTGTATGGCACACTGTAGAAGCAAGTGGCACATCTGGTCCTGAAGATGAGGACTTCGCATGTGCCACTGTTAAGAAACACCTAAGAGAAACTCTGAGAGAAAGGGAGGAGCTGCAGGACCCCAATTCCATTATAATTGTTTAACTGTAACACCTATAACGTTTATATGAGCTAGTCTCTGCTCTAAGCACTTTACATGTATTTACTAACTTATTCCTCAGGAGGTGGGGAATAGGATACCCTCATTCTAAGATCTGGCAACCAAAGCCCAGTCTTGGGTCTTACCAGCAATACTCTAGTACCTCTCTGATACACACTAGGATAGGCGCCACCTCTTCACTAAGACCATCCAGCTTCTTCAATCAGCCCGCTAATTTCTATCAATGCTGACAGATTTCCTGTTGAAACTGTGGTAGGCAGTTGGACAGACACGAGCAGAGCAAAGACGATGGGCCAGGTACAGAAGGTCACCAGGGTGGAAAGCCTGGGGTGCTCAATGGGCAAACCTGACAAAACAAGGTCCTCACCCCCAGGGTAACCTTTCTTCCCCTAGCACGTCACTGGTCACTTGGTTTAGATGCCCTAACCTTTCTTATGGCTGGTCCTGCAGTTGGGACCCTCCTTTGACCTTTCCTCCCTTGGCCTCTTGCTAGTCCGGTGGTAGACCCCCTTAGAGGAGGAACTAGGAAAAGGAGAATAACCCTTAAGCATTAAGCCCCCAGGACAATGAGGTTCTGACCCGAATCAAATACATCTAGGCCTCAGTTGTATTTCTGCTCCAGCCCAGAAAAGCAGCAAAACCAGACAAGTGACACCATGGCTGACATCTGGACCAGCTGCAGTGACTAATGACCCCCCTGCCCTGGTGCCAACCAATCAGTGGAGACCCTGACCCTGAAAGGCCACACCTAGAAAGCTGATGAATATTCTGTTGAGACCCTCCCCTATAATCCCCACCCTTAAAAGCCTTTAGGACAGAGGACACAGCCACTCTCCCTTCTCTTTCTCCCCAGGCATGTTACCTTTACCCTTCTCTCTCCTAAGTTCCAAGGGCCCTTCTTTTGCCTCTGTAACTTGTTTTCTGAGCCCATTTCTTCTACCACTCACTTCTTCTACCTCTGTGACTTTCTAAATAAACTTCTCTCACAGTTTAGGTCTTGGCTCTGAATTCCTTCCTAGCCAGAACCCCAGGACCGAGGTCGCTGAACCAGGTCCAGTCTGACTCCACCAGTCTAACACCTGGTGCCGTTCTCACCGCTGCTAAAAAAATTGCTGCACTTTGGAATAAAATCTGACAATACAGTCATGTGCAGCTTAACTATGGGGAAAGCATTCTGAGAAATGTATTGTTAGGTGATTGTGTCCTTGTGCAAACATCACAGAGTGCACTTGCACAAACCTAGATGGGATAGCCTGCTATACACCTAGGCTATAGCCTACTGCTCTGTAGGGAGGAAAAATAATTTTCCCCCTACCCTTCTGGGCTTTTGGCAGACACATCCCTGTAATAAAAGAAAGATTAATAAAAGAAAGACAAAAGTTTAAAAACATATATACCAGGAAAATTGAGTAACTGGCCAAAATGGCTGAAACCACCACATTAAATAGCATCTTCAGCTGAAGACAAAAGAAGATACTGGAGGTGGGGGGAGTTGGTTATAGGTTATCAGGGAGAGCAAAGCAAACATGGGTAACGCTGTTTGCAGTCCATTCTCTTCTGCTTTGATAATGGTTTGTAAAAACAAGGTCATCTCCCTCTCCCAGGTACAGCAGGGAGATACTTACAAATGCAGATTTCCCTTACAAATGTAAAAGTATTTTACAAAGGGTAACTTCTAGTAGCTTTTCAGAGCTTCTCCAAAGTCTGATTTTTCTTAAAATTAACCAGCCTAAAATAATCCTTAAGCCAAGTAGAGATATTAGGGGCTGACACACTCTGTTCCCCTACAGCTCCTAGGCTACAAATCTGTACAGTATATTACTGTACTGAATACTGTAGGCAATTTTAACACAGTGGAGAGTATTTGTGTAATGCATCACGCTACTTCTCTAGGCAATAGGAATTTTTCAGCTCCATTGTAACCACCACGATATACAGACTGTCATTGATCAAATCGTTCTTAAGCAACAGCACATGACTGTATACATTCTTTTGACACATTGCCAGATTCCATTTGCTACCAGCTTATTTCAAATGGTTTATCTATATCATAAAAGAAATCAGTTTATCATTCTTGCTTCTCCCTCCCCATGCTTATCAACTTTAGTATTAAGAGTTCGATAAAACTCAGCTGTTATCATTGTTCCTTTCTTTTTTCAGGTGTGGGTTCTCATTCAAGTGTCAGTTCTACAGTTATTGAGCTATTCAAGTTTTCTTCTTCATGACATTTAGTAGTTTAAATTTTGCGAGGAAATCATTAAAATTTCCTCTAGGATTTCAAATTTGTTGCCATACAGTTGTACTGTCTTTGAGTCTTTAAATATCCTTGTACCTGTTAGTCTAGAACCGTGATTCTCAAAGTGTAGGTCCTGACCAGCAACACTAGCATCACCTGGGAATGTACTAGAAATTCAAATTCTCAAGCTCCACCTCAGATGTACTGAAGCAGAAACTCAGAGGTGGGGCCCAGCAATCTGCATTGTAACCAGCCTTACAAGGGATTCTGATGTAGCACAAGGTGAGAATCACTGGTTTAGAAGGTAAGGCACCTGTACATGAGAAACACACACAGAGTAAAAGGGAAAATTCCCTCACTGTCATCACTCACCAGATCATTCCCTCAAACAGGTTGTGGATAACGAGATGTGACTGGGTGACAACAATCAGTAACGTAACATGAGTCCAGCCAAACTGCAAAAGAAGAAAAAGACTCAACTTTACGTATCAGTTTACCTTGAAAGGAACTACAAAGAACAGTCAATGCCAAATAGAAAATTGCTAAGAAACAGGTAGGAAAGATATCTGCTTCTGCACCTTATTAGAAGTGAAAAGGTACAGAACAGGCCTCTGGGAGAAATTCTGTCCCCCATCTACAGGTCCATCAAGTCAGGACCACAGAGCTCACTAGTGAGTACGTCCTTCTGTGCTCTGAAAGCCTGGGTACTTCCAAGTACTTAATGAGTGTTTGGGGCACTCAGAAAAGGAATATTTTCAAGCTGAGAAAGTGATGTAAGATATCTGTGAACAATGACTGAGGTGCTGAGGCAGGATAGTAACAAAGTAGGAAATTCCTTGGCAAGTGGAATGAGGGAAATTGAGACAGGTAGTTAAACAAGGCTAAGCAATGTTAAGCAAGGCCTGCTAACAAACCACAAGATCTTATCTTCCCTAAGCGAGGACACTTAGGAGCAAATGGTTTACACCTCTCCTCCTCAACCAGAGAGTGAGTAGTTTAAATCACCCTAGTCAAGGAGATAGATAACAGAGACCCAGATGGTGCCATTAGGGCCAGCCAAACCCAAGAACAGATGAAGTCAGGAGAATAACAAAAAACAAAACAATCAGAGCCAGATAAATCCAAGATGAAAGTAAAGCAGTGAAGCTGACTAGAGAATGATCCCCAAATCCCTTATAAGCTTATTTTGGTGCATCAGCATATTAAAGAACACATCTGGAAAGCTGTTGACTATTCTTTTGAGACCCTCCCCTGAGACCTTCCCTAAAATTCTCATCTACAGAAAACTGATAAAAACTCTTTAAGACAAAGGACTCAGTGTGTTCTCTCCCTTGAGCATGCCTGCACCCCTTTTTTCCTCAGGTGTGTACTTTTGCTTTCTTTCTTCTAAGCTCTAAAGGTCCCCAGGAGATTTGCAACCAAGGAACAGTGGGTAGCGGCAGCTTGTCCAGGGCTAACCCCCTGAACCTATCTCCAAGGGCCCTCCTTTTGCCTCTGTAACTTGTTTCCTGGTCCCATGCAGCTCAGGGTGATTCACTTGTTACTGTGACTTCCTTTCCTGAGTCCACACAGCCCAGTATGGCTCACTTCTGCCACTTCTGTTACTGTGATTTCCTTTCTTGCATCTAGGCAACAAAGGCTCACTCCTGTTGCTATGATCTTGCCTCTTCTGTCTTAAGTCCTTCCTTTGTTTCACTGTCCCCAACTTTAATAACTGTACTCTCAAAATCACTGGGACTTGCATTATGCAATCTTTCCTACATGAAGTCAAGAACCCAAACATTCCAGGCTGTGCCAGGGCAGACCTGCCTCGGTCTTGGTTTCTTTCCAGTGACAGTATCACCTTGAGCCTCACCTAGAGCCCACTTCTTCAGGACCAAGCGGAGAGATTGCTCAGGATGTAAATTAAGTAACAATGATTCAGTCTAAGTGAATGTACAGCTGCTAAACTTAAAAGGGCCCTCTTCTTTCATGCTCTGAATTTCAGATACATACAGAACAGACTGGACTCGAGTTTTGATACCTCACAGAAACGATGAGAAGCCTGTTGAGTTTCTGCAGAACTTCATTTAAACCAAGAATTCACACACACACAATTTCCCTTACCATGTAGAACTGCAGGCGGTAATGCTTCTTGACCAGACTCAATACAAACATGCNCAACTTCCCTTACCATGTAGAACTGCAGGCGGTAATGCTTCTTGACCAGACTCAATACAAACATGCAGAATCCTGGTTTGAGGAGGGAGGAGAAAGGGCAAAATGAATCACATTCTGCATTTACCTTTGTTCTAGTCATTTCCTTTAGCTGTGTACATGATCGCGACTGTGATCCTTTGGCTAACTTCCTGGCAGCAGCTAACCAGTATACAATCCCAAACCCCGGATAGGGGAGGAGCGAGGAAGACACGAACTAGTTCTTCAGATAGCAATGAGAAGGGAAAAAATGACTCCTTCAAGACAATCAAAGGAAGGCACTATCTTTAAATCTTGGAGACTACACTCAATTTAGGCTGCTGTTCACCAGATAAGAATATTTTGACCCAAGAGCAGGGGCAAACAAACAAGTCAGGCCAGCTGCCTGATTTATAGCTAAAATTTTATTGAAACACAGCTATACCCATTTGTTTACATATTGTTTGTGGTTGCTTTTATGTTACAAAGGCAGACTGGGAAGCAACAACAGAGACCCTGGGCCTGCAAAGCCTAAAATACTCATTATCTGGACTTTTAAGGAAAAGTTTTGTGACCCCTGTCCCACTGAAGGGGTCTGGTGAAGGGAGGATCTACCAGGTATGGGGTAGAGGCCACCCTTGCCCCTCTCTCATACTGACGCATATGGTGGCAAAAAATACCTGTAGCCTCCACCCACTTCTCCAGGAAGGAACAGGACTTTTATCAATTAAGTGTGCTGGGCTCTCAAAAACAATTCTGCCCAGAAGAGAGCATGCCTCTTTTCCAGACACCCCTGACCTCCCGCTGGGGTGCTGCTTTCAGGGTCTGAGGAGTGCCCTCTGAATATAATGTCTGCAGACCCCTTAGCAGTGGATTTTGTATCTTAGTGCCCAGGTGTCATTCACAGAGCTGATCAAAAATAGGTCAGACAGCCCTAGCCGGTTTGGCTCAGTGGTTAGTGTCAGCCCATGGACTGAAGGGTCCCAGGTTCAATTCCAGCCAAGGACACATACCTTGACTGCAGGTTCAATCCCTGGCCCTGGTTGGCAGTGAGGCAACCAATCGATGTGTCTCTCTCACATCAATGTCTGTCTCTGTCTCTCCCCCCCGCCCATACTCTCTCTGAAAAGCAATGGAAAAAATATCCTCAGGTAAGGATTTAAAAAATATATATAGCTCAGACAAATTGAGGTCAGGACAACTTTCTCAGGTGCCTCAAACAAGCTTTGAAGGCAATTATGAAAAACACTAGCATTATCAGAACTAGTGTACAGTCTGAACTGTGTTTAGATTGACCAGCACCTCACTGTTTATCAAGTTTTAACATATCTGACTTAATCCTCACAGTAAATCCAGTTTTAGCTCTAGATTATAAAAGAGCTCACTGAGACTCAGAAAGAGTAAGCTCTTGGCCGCACTGAGGTCACAGAGTCTTTGAAAATCCAAATCAGTAAAATTTCCACTGCACTGCAATGTCTGTCCTCCAAGGCAGTCTCCTAAGAAGATGCTTCTAAAGATGGCTGCCTGATTTTACACGTAAGTTATGAAAACAGGTGGTTTTTCTGTATACAATTTTAACTTTATATCCTTTTAGAATTTTGTTTATGCAAAATCATAGGTATGAATGTATAAAAATATGGATTCTTTTGTAACCTGCTTTCTAGACTTCCTCTCAAATAATGTAATACTTTTATATTTCCATATTTCAATAAATCTAAGTGATCCGTGTTGGAAAAAAACAGGTGGTTTTTGTTTTGGTCACATCGCAGAATCTCTGCCAACAGGAGACTCATGACAGGACTATGCTGTGCTGTCCTCCAATGGAGGCTGGAACACAGGGACAGGTGGCACAGACTGCAGTCCCCACACCCACACAGCCCCTCAGTCTTAATTCTCTTAATAGAGAGTTGCTAGAGCGTATGTAAGGCAAAGCCCTCGGCTCTGCTCCCCTGCACAGAGTTAACATCATCAAAACTTTACGTTAACCAAGAAACTCCCCAACTCCTACTCAGCAGACACACAAAACAAAACAGATACAAGAACTTGTGAGTCATTCAACACATACCTATTAGGTAGAGAGTAAAGGAGATGAACCGGTGGTATTTGCTGAGAATCCGCAAAGGCTCCTCTCTCTGGACCAAAGTGAAGAAATAATCCGTCACCGTTTCACCATAGAAGAAATAATTTACACACAGTAGAAAGTACCTGTAAATGAAGACAGGTCGTTGTGGTGGGGAGCACATGCACTGTAAAGTGAAGCTGTCCGAAAACCCCGAGGAGAGGGCCAGGAAAGCAGCCCCCCAACCCTTAAGACCCCTCTGTTCTCTAGTGACATTGCAGGTGAGAAGCTTGTGGCAGCTTTCACTCAGCCTCCATTTATCACAAACCTGGGTGTCGTTTCTGCCCCTTTCGCAGAGTTTCTATACCTAACCTAAGAACACTCAAATCATAAGGTAACGCTCCTAACCACGCCTCATCCTGCCTCTGGTCTTATTTCTACCCTCCCCAGCAGGAGCGCCGAGTGCTCATCGGGACAGTTGCTCGCTCCGGCTCTGTTGCCCGTCTGCTTTGCTCGCATCCATTCCCTGCCTGGAGCAACCCCTTCACTCACCTTTCTTCACTCACTGTACAAACACCATTTTCTTCATAAAACCCCGCCCAACCTAATATGACATCTGCCTCCCCAGCATCTACTTCTATAGCACATCAGCCGGTCTGCTTTCTTCTGAGGAAGATTTGATTCCTGATAACTACTAAAGACCCCTCCCAGGCTGGCCATGTGGTATGGCCTAGGAAATATGCAGGCCCAGGGCCGTCACTCCCTCCCACCTGCCATCGCTGTAAACAGCTGCCACCAAAACACTTATCATCTAAAGCTGATATAGGTTCTATGGGGCTGGAGAGCTTACCAGCTGAGGGTCCTGAACCAGGGTAGGTCATAGGAGTGGTAGACATTGTAGCCAATGGTGATAATCTCATGGAAACACTTTATCTGAACACACATCACCTGCAGGACACACAAGAATTAGAACACTTGATATGATCTTTGGAAACAGAAACCAACATGCCATAGGCCTTCAAGAAAAACCGCTGTATTTAAGAAAAATGTCAGTCTTACAAGAGCTCAGCTCTTTTCTCTCTCATACCAACTCACATGGCAATGTAGCCTTTTATGTCACACAGAAGAGATCCAATTTCTCACAATAAATACATGCTCCTGAAGTTTAAATTGACTTTGTATTCTAGAACCTCCCAGGACTCAATCAGTTTCTTCCCCCTTTGACTTTGAATACAAATACTTGAAAAGCCCCAACATCTATGCTCTGCAGTCAGTTGTTAGTGATTTAACCTTGTCAATGACACTAGGACTAAGGGAAAAGCACTGTGGACTGGTATTTCTTAATGAAAGGCCTAAGACTATGAGTAAGGCCCCAGGAAAACAATAAACAAAACCAAGAATCAAAGTCACAGCAGGGGTCACAGTATAATCAAACAGTTGAAATAATAAAATCAAATTTTAAAAGAGGCATCTTTAGCCATATACAACTGGCCTAAGCCAATGTCCCTGCACTTGGCTGCTAAAAAGTGAGCAGTCTCAGATATTCTAAGAAAGAAATGTTCTGTGGAGCCTGGACTCCAAATGATTCCCAGAACTAACCCAGCACCTGGAACTTCAGATGCCCAATCCTGCATGAAAAACTGAAGGCACAACTAAAATAGCACGCAAATGGCACTTACAATTATCATTAAAACCATTGGTCCCAGGTAAATGATGATGAAGAAAAATGCAATCATGGCCAAAGTCAGGATGCCTCTCACCCACCAGTTCTTCCATCTTAGAGAGGAGGGAAGGAGAAAGCACATTAGGAGCCCAGAAAGAACTGAAGCATAAACCCAAGGAGGGCGGCTCTTCCTGGGAGGAGCGGGCCTGAGGTCAGTCCTTTCCAGGAGCACCTCCTTCACCTGGACAGACAAACTAGCAACATGCTGGTGGGAGCAGGGCAAGGCCATCAGAGCCAATGCCTCATTGCTCTATTCCTGCATTGCTGTGGTGATAACAATATAAACAGTGATAATAACAGTTATCACAAATACGCACCCAGCAGCTTTATAAGGACTTAACATATATTAATTCATTCGGCCCTCAACTACCAGTTGTGAAGTGGTTAAGCTGGGATTGGAATCCTGGCTCTGGAACCCATGCGCTGAACCTCTGCATAATACCACCTTTCACAGGGACACGTGTGTGGGAACCACACATAGAAACACTAGAAACAGTTTTAGATAATGTTTTGGGGTCTTATAGTTTGTGTTGAAGGAACCAGAGTCTCAAGAGACCAGAATTTCAACCCTGGATTCACCTAATTAAGATGCTTCTCAGTCCTTCCAGGAGAATTTTTAAATGTCCACAATGGACATTTGTTGGAGAGGGAAAACTAAACTTTGAACTGGAAACTTGGGCTCCTCTGTGAAAAGTAGCCCAGTCACAAGCCCCAGGGACCCTTTCTCCACATGTGCTGTGTTAGTGACCTTGCCCTCTCCCGTTGTCCACCCTTCTTCCTCCTACAGCATCCTTCAACTGCCAGACCCCTCCAGGCTGTGCTCGCAGTTGCTGTAAGATGATGCTCAATGAAGCCCTTGGCAGAAGCAGGGGAACTGTGGCAATGCCAGTGGGCAGGCCTGCGCCGCACACTCTGACAGAGTAGATTCCCACCACAGACTGGGAGCTCCATGAGGGGCCTGGGTCCTCCATGGCACTTGGACACACAGCAAGGCCCCCTACAAGCACCTGCATCATTAAGCCAGTTTACCTTGAAGACAAGTTGGAAAGGGCCCTGTTGAGGACCTCTGGGGTATCGTCTGCAGAGGTTACCGGGGGAGCAGCTTCTGCTCGGCTCTCACTGTCTGAAGCAGTCTCTCCATCTACCTTTACTTCTTGCTCGGACTCCTACAAAGCAGAAAAACAGACGAGAAAAAGGTCAACAATGCTGAGTAGGATACTGAGAAGAACGCCTGTTACAGGAGATCTGGGCAAAGACCCAAGCTGGGCCTGAGGACCGGGCACAGTCAGGTGACATAACAGATGGGACTCATAGTGACCACGACATGTCCTGACATGTGCCAAGGCGGCCTGCTCTCTACTTCGAGAGAGACATGCATCTGCGCCTGGGGATGAGCAACAGCCCCACTCGACTCGATCCCCAATGCCTGGCAGGGAACAGTCCAGAAGAGGGGAGCCCAGCCGGACGTGGCTCAGCGGTTGAGCATCGACCTAGGATCCAGGCAATCGGGGTTCGATTCCTGGTCAGGGCACATGCCCGGGTTGCGGGCTCGATCCCCAGTCAGGGGCGTGCAAGAGGCAGCCAATCAATGACTCATCATTGATGTTTCTATCTCTCTCTCCCTCTCTCCTCTCCCTGAAATCAATAAAGATATATTTAAAAAAAAAAAAAAAAAAAACCCCACCATAAATAAAAGAAGCTGGACAAAAGGCCAAATACTGTGGTTATACTTGTATGAAATGTNGGAGGAGGGACTCCATTGTACCCAAAGAATGCAAAAGGGGGCTGTGACTAGATTTCATCGGGGCCTCATTCCTGATCCTACTACTCAGAACTTTTAATTCTTTTTTTTTTTTAGAACTTTTAATTCTTAAGGAAATTTAGAATAGTTGCTGTGAGAAGATGTGGAGAAATCGAATCACATAGAATTAGACAGTAACAATACCACATAGTATTTGTATAGCCCTTCACAGTTTTTAGAGTGTTCCCCATACCTGTGAACCTCAGAGCAGGTCTGGGAGGAAGGGAAGAAACAGAGGAAGATCCCTATTTATAGATGAAGAGCCGGGCTCTGAGGAGCTCCACAGCTGGCCCCAAATCTATTAACCCAGGTCTTCTGACTTGAATTTGTTCATCCCACTAGATTTCCTCTTATTTAAGCATCTTGGAAGCCATTTTATTTTTTCAGTAAGAAATTCAAAACAAAGTAAATTAGAAATGGCAAAAGGATGTTTTACCACATCTTCAAAGATTTTGTTATATAAGTATACAAACATATTTAAGTTTGAATTACGGAAATTTGAATTTCCCAAATTAGTAAATATATGAAATAGAGCATCATTTCAATGATATGTTTGCTGGCCACTTGGATATCTTCCTTTGTGAAGTGTCTGTCAAGTCACTGGCTAGTTTTCTACTGAGTTTTCTGCCTTCCTTTTTATTGCTTTGTAGAAATTTTTTATGCATCTCAGATTTAAGTACTTTGTGTCACTAATGTGTTCTCCCAGCCTTCTCTAACCGCAGCCCTACCCTAGTCATTCCCTCTAACCCCATACCTTCTCCCTCTTGGCACTGGCCACAGTAGGGGCTTAGAAGGAGATCTCTCTAACTGTCTATTGCTCCCTATGGGAACCAAGATGCCTTGTTCTCATGACATCCCCATGCCTGGCACACAGAGAAATACTAATGGATGGAAGGAGGAAGTGAAGAGTTAATTCCAAGCATAGTAAAGAGATACCCAGCCCCTGCCCTCACGGAAACAGCTATTTCTAAATTAAGTTACAACTGTGATAACACCACAAAACAGAAGGCCTTTAGTACAAGATTACTCACACAAGAGACACCTGGTTTTAGTACAGGACCTATAGAGGTGGTCTTGCCATTTGGATCTGAGGGAAAGAGCTATAGCTTCTGATGACGGGGGCACTGCTCCTTACTTTGCCAAAGCTGAGCCAGGTGGCTCTGGACAAGTCACGCAAGTGCCTCTGTGCTTCACTGTCCTCATCTTATAAAAGGGGCCCAGAAAGGGCCCTCTTTACCTGCGGGGGGTTCACTAAAGAGATACAACCAAACTCCCACCCAAGGCTGTGTCCTATTCTACCACCCCGAGAAGTTCCGAAACACAGCAGCACCCCCAAAATTATCCCTTTCCAGGTAGACTGAATGAAGATGGAGGCATTCTGAACAGCTTTCCATTCTTTATCTTTTTTATTTTTTAGAAAGAGGAAGAAAGAGGGAGAAGGGGAAAGGAGGAAGGAGAAATGGGGAAGGGAGAGGGGGGAGAAACATTAATTTCACATTGATCGACTGCGTCCTGCAAGCCCCCTACTGGTGATCAAGCCCAAAACCCAGGCATGTGCCCTGACCAGGCATAGAACCAGCAATCTTTGGGTGCACCAGACGACACCAAACCAATTGAGCCACACAGGCCAGGGCTTTCCATTCTTTATCTTAACATTATCACCCACACCCGTCTGCAACAATCAGTAAAATGAGGTAAGGATGCTGAGATTATCTAGGCGACCCCTAAACCAAGGGGCTTCAACTTGAGAGAGCCTGAGCTTCATGGAGGCCTCTCCACAGAGGCTTTCCGGGAGCATCTAGAAGCCACAGGGGCTGAGCTTGATTGAGCACAGCAGGCGAGAGGGCGTGTGCCTGTGTGCATCATTCACACACAGTTACATGCGCGTGTGCGCGCACACACACACACACAAGACCCAGCACAAAGTTATTTTTAACTTATCCATCCTGTTGTCAAGGAGACTCTCAAAGGCTACTGGTTCCTCGGGCCAGGAAGGGCAGGGAGGAGCCAGACAGAAACCCTGCAAAGGAGGGGCAGGGAGCTCCAGCTCCTCTGACTCCCGGACCTTCCAGGCCCTCTGATAAATGTTAGCCCAGCACTGTTTCCTGCAGCCGCAGTATCAGCATGTGCGATTCCTCTCTTTCCTTGCTGGGATGGGGTGAGGTGAAGGGAGGTGTCTTAAGGCCAGAAGTAATAGGAGAGAGAGAAAGACACAAAGACACTGACTTGTTATTATCAAGAGGTAGGGTCCTGGGATGAACAACAGGAAATTTAAATGCCCTGAAGGAACAAGCCTGAAGGAGAGTAACTTCCTAGGTTTTACCTGCCAGGGTCCCAGGCCTCACCCCAGGCCACTGAAAAAGAGCCCTTTTCTGGAGGCTCCCTCTGAGCAGGAGACCAACACCTACACATACAACGGCTCTCCCACCAGCAGAAAGGCAAATTCCTATGCAAGGGGAGGAAGGGGCACACCCTCAGAAGACATGGATTTGGGGGTGGAGGGCAAGTCAGCCAGCTCTCCAGGCTCCTGACCTCCAGCCCCAGTCAAGTGTCACAGGAGAGCAGGCCAAGGGAACAGAAACAAGAGAACCTGGAGAGGTCTACAGGGTTCTGGCTCCTCCCCACACCATGGGCAAAGGCCTTGTGCTTGGGCCACTAATGCCTGAGTAAAGGAGGCCAAATGCAGCTTCCATAGTGGGCCCAGAAGGAAGCAAGGACCTGGAGCCCAAGTTCTCATCCAGAAGAAAGTGGCACATGCTGAACCAAGAGTCAGGGTGCGGAGCATGTTCACTGGTTTGTTCCCCCAGGGATGGCAAGACAGGCAGATGGAAAGAAGACTTTCTGCAGGAGGAGGCAGCAGCCAGTCAGGGAGAGCCGGGCCCAGGGTCAGGCTCTCATGCTCACTGCACTCGGCACAGGCCTTCATTCTCTGGTCTTCCCAGTGGGGAAAGGATCCCTCATCTTGGACGGTTCTTGGGATGATCAAATGCAACATCAATGAATGTCTATAAAAACTAAAAAGGGGCTGAATAGAAACACCCCCCCACCCTTCAGTACCCTGACCACAGTGCACAAGAACCTTAAACACCCACCCCAGGCAACCTGGGTACCTTTCCCAAGGAGGGTGGAGTGGGGAAAGAGTGCTGGCCAGCAGGCCTTGCTGAGAACCATGTGCCAAGCAATTACATGAGCTCAGCATTGCTGCCCTGCTTCCTCCTTCACACCTTCGATCCATCCAATAGGCAGCCCCAACTCAAAACTCATCCGCTTCCCAAAGCAACCGTGGAGGTGGAGGCCTGAAACATAAAGGCAGTAAAGGTAGTACACGCTAGTACTCTCTGAAGTGGGATGTGTGCAATGCAATCCACTGAAGTGTGGGGGAAAACAGGAGAACTTATTTCTATTTATCTTGTTCGTATTTTCTTTCCTGTGCTTGCTTTACAATGGACCCATCAGTACATGTATACAACTTCGTAAGTTTGTGCCAGCTGGGACACATGTGGGCATCTTGTTTCCCACTGCACTGAGCAGTGTCTGGACCATAGCAGGCACCCAAAGATTTGCTGAACTAATAAGATAATCAATTCTACTTGACCTACCATAGATCAGCGTCCAGACTGCACTGAGAGTATGGCAGGACCCATTTGATTTCTAGCTTACTTGCCAAGACGCACACACTGGCCTCCACAGTGGCCCTCACAGCAGGATCAGACCAGTGAACATTCCGCTCCCCCTGCCCCCCAGGTAGTAGGTCTGAGGACCCAGCTCAGTAGTTCTGGGACTAGCACAGGGCAGCAAGGAGAGGCTGCCTTGCTGCTTCAAGCAGTCCCAGCCTCGCCCCGCCCCGCATCCCCTTCTTCTTTCCTGCCCCCTTTCCTTCCTTTCCTCCCTCCCTCCCTCCCAACCCAAGGGCCCAGATCAGGGGTTAAGTGGAGCAGATCCTCTCAGATTCTGTCTCAATCACCACCCATCCTCCCCCACTCCTTTAGCCATTTCCCAAGGGGGTTGGTGCTGGTGTAAACAGGAAACAAAAGTGCTGCTTCAAAAGGAAGAGAAAACAGCTCCCTCTGAGGCCTCCTTCCTTCTGGTTCACTTAGATCTTACAGGGAAAGGCAGAAGTACTCAGAGTGATGGACACATGGAGTCCCCTGGGTACCAAGGGCTCAGGTAAAACCTGTCAACATTTTTGGAGAAACTCACGCTCCAAAGGCTCCTCCTACCTGCCTCCCAGGGCCCCTCTCTCAGCCACAGCTGCCCAGAATCCAACACCAGCACTGACCTGGGGCTCAGAACAGCAAAGAAGCCTCCATAAACAGAAGCAAGAGAGGGCACTAGGGAGAACCAGAGGGAGCAGAGGGGTAGGAGGAGAAGCTCCT